GCCTATACACAGAATACCTTTCCCTTCCTTCCTTCCTTCCTTCCTTCCTTCCTTCCTTCCTTCCTTCCTTCCTTCCTTCCTTCCTGATGCTAATTATTTTTTTTCATTTTGATGTAACACATCAAATGTACATGTACCAAAGAACAAGATACACAGTACAACATTGGAAAATCAATTATATTTTATTAAAGCCCCTTCTTTTGCCAATCTAGTATACTATTTGGTATTTATGCCTTCAAAAACTTCATCTTGCTGAATTGCATTTCTCTATGCTTATGTCTCTTTTATGAAGATATAATATTCTTGATACTTGCACAGCACTTCAAAAATTCCATTTAAACCACACTTTAATTTCATTATAGGAATAGGTTAGCAAACTTGGTTGGAATTTTATAACTTGTACTTAGGGCTTGCAATAAGAATTCTCATACTTTCTGTGATCTTTTCTCCATTCTTTCAGTTGGAAGAGAGAACAGGAATATCCTTAGGTGCACAAACATGTGTCCATTTATCTGAGTCATTACTTCACCCTTGCAGTCTGGCTGAGTCCCGAGTCTGGGATATCACTTCAAACTGCTAAAGCCATTTCAAGTGTGAAACTGTGCAGATTTATGGACAACCAATTCATTTATATATGGGAACTAGGTCAGTTACAGGGAAAAGAAATACCTGTTTAATCCATTACTTCAATACTCATAAATTAGTATTTCGACATAACACTATTATAACAGTAGAATTTACTGGTAATGTTTTTTCCTGTAATTTACTGTGATTTTATTCTTTACATAACTATCTGTCAATTTTTCAAATATTTTAATACTTAGTTTTGAACAAGGGTACCCTAATTATTATTCTAAAATGTATTTTCTAATATATATGTAATAGATACATGCTCAGCATTAGAAGACAAGATAGAAAGACCTACACATATATTAGAGAACAAACAAAAGTATACTATATCATCAAGATAGTAAAAGAACTGAAATGGAAATGGGCTGGTCACATAGCAAGAATTGATGGCAGGTGGACCAAGGCAGTTATTGAATGAATCCCACTTGATAAAAAGTGTCCACAAAAGAGATCTAAAACAAGATGGATCAATAACATCAGCAAGTATTGTGGCCCCAATGGGCAAAAGAAAGCTCAGAACAATATTGGTTGGAAACATGAAGAAGAGGCCTTCATTCTGCAGAGGATAGACAATGGCTAAGATGATGTTAGTGGTAATTTCCTAATGTTAATATTTCTATTTTTTTAAAGGAAACAATTTTAGTCTAAGCAGAACAATATGTAGAACTCCCATAAAATTCTATGTAATCATGTAGTTTTGATGATGATTCAAAAATCTTTATCAGTTTCATTAATGTATAAAAATTTAAAAAGTGCTGGGAAAGAATTGCCAGCATCATATCTCAGTAAAACAGCATTAGTGCCAGCCAATAAAACAAGACCCAATCAATACAAGAGTGTCAGGCAAAGCACCCAGAATCACTCATGAATAGTCTCAGACAGAAGCCTTATTGCTAGCCACCCGTGTTATAAGAATCTCACCAGACTGACTGCATTCTCTTTTTTTTTTATTGAAAGTTTTATAAATTTTACAAAAAGACAAAAACAATACAAAACAAAAAACAACATATACAAAAAAAAAAAACATTACATATAAAAAACCCCCCATCCCCCACCCCTCACAAACACCCTCCCTTCCGCCCCCCTGAGCTTCCCAGAGCAGAATATAGGCTTAGTTAAAAATTAACAAATAAAGATAAAAATTAAATTAAAAAATTTATATTTATATATATAAAAAATATCTATATATAACATTCTCTATATATAAAAATAAAACTTATGAAAAAACTATGTGATATTTTTTTATACCCAATCTAAATTGTATAAATTTTATCCATTTGTCCCAAACGGCAAGAAACTTCTCTTGCGTTTGTTGCTTTAAGAAAGCCGAAATCTTTGCCATTTCCGCCAAATAGGACACTTTAAGAAACCATTCCTGCAGTGTAGGCAAAGATTCCTTCTTCCAATATTGTCCAACTAACAGCCTCGCGGCTGTAATCAAATTTAACATCAATACAACCTCCTTTGTATCACAATCTGTAACAATGCCCAACAAAAATAATTGCGGAGTAAATTTTACCCTCCTTCTAAAAATTCTCTGGATATTCCACCATATTTTGATCCAAAATGCTTTTATCTCTCTGCATGACCACCAAATATGATAATAGGAAGCATCCTTATAACCACATCTCCAACATTTGGGTTGTACGTCAGGGTACATAAGAGACATTTTTTGTGGATCAAGGTGCCATCTATAAAACATTTTATAAAAATTCTCCCTAAGGTTCTGTGCTTGTGTAAATTTGACATTTCTCACCCAAATGGTTTCCCAGATGTCCAATGAGACTGGGACACCAAAATTCTGCGCCCATCTAATCATGCAGTCTTTAATTAATTCCGTTTCTGAGTCCATTTCAACTAATACCCCGTAGATTCTCTTGATGTGGGTTTGTCTTTGATCCTTGACTTGCTTAATAAGATTTCCATCTTCTCTAAGAACACCCAATTTACAATCCACCTTCCATTTATCTACTAGTTGCCTATATTGAAACCAAGAATAAATAATATTTTCTTGCGCTAAATCTTCCCGTAATCTTAACTGCCAGTTTTGCCCATCCCATCTAAGTAGCTGACTATAAGACACCATATCCATTTTTACACCTCTTTTTATTCCTTCTATTGCATGCCAAGGTATGGCCCATAATGGAACTTTAAAATCACTTTTATAATATTTTCTCCAAGTCCTAAGTAAAGAGATTCTTAAAATATGAGATTTAAAAACCCAATCCATTTTTTTATTAAATATTAAATAGGCATGCCTCTAGATGAAGTATCTCAGGATTTGTCAAATTTATGCATTCTCTTGAGATGGTCAGATAAGGCCTCAAGAATTATGTGGGAGTCAGGCCTCTGAACTCTGCAGTTCAAATACCCTATATTCGCTCACCCACCCACCCTTAACACCTCTCTCCAGTCTAGCTGGAGATTCCAAGACAAAGAGATGGTAAAAGATTCAACAGATACAGAATGTGATACAACAAGGATATTTCTATTTATTTAGCAATTACATAGCAACAGCACTTAAATTTATACACAGTACCACTCCATAATGCTTTACAGCACTCTCTGAGCAGTTTACAGAGTCAGCCTACTGCACCCAATCATCTGGCTCCTCGTTTTATTGATCTGGAAGGCTGAGTCAACCTTGAGCCAATCAGGACTGAACTCCTGGCAGTGGGCAGAGTCAGACTGCAATGCTGCATTCTAACCATTGCACCACTACGGCTCCTATTTATTTGCTGAGCTTGTACTCTCTGTAAAGGAACAGAGAGAGGCTCATTGACCACAACTCTGTCATAGTGTCAAGGGGCTTGGAACATTTTTTTGTTGATTCAGGTTAATACAGAACATACTATGTCCTCAGTTTATTTATGTTCTGAAACTCCCAGGCTGAATTTTTTTATATGTGTTATACATGGAAATGAACCTTTAAAAGTGGCCTCCAAAGTTCCACATATATTTAAAAATGACCTGCTAGAATTGGAAACAGATGATCTGGATATAATACACCAATGCTTTACTATCTTCATTGGTTTCTAAAATATTTCTTATTTCATTCAAAGTGCTGTTTTGACATTTGAAACTTAAATGACCCTTCTCTGGATATATCACCTAAATATAAATAATTGCTAGGACGAAGCTTAAATAATAGTGGCATTTTAATTGTGGGATGTTTCTCCCATCACTATTTTATGGACATTTTGGTCTCAAACTATTTTGTAAAGATTCATATAGTCCTCTAAAATCCCTTAATTTTTAAATATTAAAACTATTGTTTTAACATAAAGCTTATACCATAAACTGTCAAGAGAATACAGAACATTATCAAAGTAAAAGATTCTAATACCAACATTACAATGTATAATTAAATGTATACCTCTATAAATATATAATCTGCACATAAATGTATTGCCTTTTGATTTTTAGCATAATGTTTGAAAATCCAGAACATTCAATAGATTCAGAATTTAAAGTAGCACAATACAATAAGTTTCCATTTTGTTTTTGTTTTTTTCATCTACTGGCAAATAGACAAAGCATCTGAGTTTTCCTGCTTTAGGAAACAATATGGCAAAATATATACCGTAATCATCTGCTAGCTCATAAGCAGAAGTATCTGTTATAAAGATTATGCATGCTGATGGAGTAAACAGCAATTTGTGTATCTGCTGTGAAAAACCCAGCAGAAGATATTGGTTAAAAATATGTATCTCCTTTCATTGACTGCAAACTATTTTTTACTTTTCTGTTTTCAGCACCTTAAAATTACAAATCTAAATTACAGGACCCAAGAGGAATAAATGCATTTAACAATTCCATATATATTTCATGTAAATCTATTGCTGTAATCTCGCTAATGAGGATAATAAACTGGAGCAGTTCCCATGTGCACAAAAGGTAAATCTCTTCCCTGTTTTTGCTGACTAGAAAACAATGAGGCAAGTGTGGCTGTAGTAGAATGTAACATTTTAAGGTCTCTTATATTATGCTCACATTTAAGCCAAAAACAGATCAAGAGTTTTATTTACTTATCTGAGTAATAAAATAAATGATCACTTACTATAAAAAGATATTGTTTTCATAACTACACTTGAAAACGTGTCAGGAAGAATATATTCAAATAACTTGAAAGAACTTCTCAGTGTAAACATTAACTTTTTTTTCAATATTGTGTCAAATTACTTAGAAATTCTACTTACATTTGGCCTTTATATTATCCATTAAATGATAAACCCAAATATTTTCACTTCAGTTTAGTTTGAGTTTTATACCCTTAAGTAGATATATTACAGGATTTTTTTAAATTATCAATTCTTATAACAATTCATTTTATTTGCAACAATTCTAGATAAGAATGAACCATGTCTTACCACTGGTGTCTGTAACAGTTATTTGAGCTTTAGTAGTGTCATCTCCAAATCTGTTGCTTGCTTTACATGTATATTCCCCAGCGTCATCCAACGAAGCTTTAGTAATGCGGAGTTCTGAGAATGTTCTAAGGAAAGAAAGTTGAATAATATATTAAACCATTTTATGCATCATTGAAGGAAACAAATATCCCAAAAAAAATTCTTTTTAGATTTGTTCCTCCTTTACTGGAGGTGCACAGAGGAGCCATGCTCATAAGATAAACAACACAATGTAAATTACAGGTAGTCTTCAACTTACAACAGTTCATTTAGTGACCATTTGAAGTTACAATGAAAAATGTGACTTATAACCATTCTTCACACATATGACCCCTGCAGCAACCTCAGGATCATGTGATTTACATTCGGATGCTTGACAACTGACTCATATTTATGACAATTGGAGTGTTCCGGGCTCCTGTGATCACCTTTGGCAACCTTCTGACAAGCAAAGTCAATGGGGAGGTCAGATTCACTTAACCACCATGTTACTAATTTAACAACTGCAGTGATTCACTTAACAACTGTGTCAAGAAAAATCGTAAAATGGGGCAAAACTCACTTAACAAATTTCTCACTTAGCAACATAAATTCTGGGCTCATTTGTGGCCATAAATCGAGGACTACCTGTAGTATGTACAGTAATACACATTTTCCTATTATAGATTTGATAGTATAGATACTCCTTACTTAATGACCATATGACTCCCTCCCATTACTTACAATCCACCCTTAAAATTATGACTGCCGCACAGACACATCTGGAATCATATGATCACAGTCTGGTGCTTGGCATATTTCAGATCATATTTACAACTGGTTACAGTGTCCCATATTAACATGACCATGATCTGTGCTATTTTTTGCCAGTTTCCACCCCAAAAAAACCCCATTCAGGAGAAAGGAATTTCTTAATATACATGTGGTTTGTTTAACAACCACATAATTCAACTTAATGACCACAGTGACTCATTTTACGACTGTCTTAAAAACAGTCGTAAAATCAAGTCAGGTCATGTGGTGACACACTTAATTACCACAATGTTTTATGCCAAAATTCCAGGTTCGATTGTGGATGTTAAGTGAGGATTACCTGTAGAACAAAAGGGGTAGGTAAAGGATAATCTATTGTCTTTACCTTGAGATTAACCTTCAGTTATTTGTTTGAACTGATCATTAGAAGTTAGAACTAGAAAGCAGTTTGGTTTTTCGTCCTTGGATTCAATTGTTAATTATCCTTGCTTATCTTCTTTTAATGTGAATATATGAGCACAAAACTTCCCATTATTAATTTTTTTAAGTAACTCTAAGAACTCTTGTCTGGATGAGGTAAATTGCTTTAAATAATAAAAATACCCAAACATTTGGGTCCTATTTTTCAAAAAATAAAGACATCTTAACAGTAAGAGATAAAAAATTATTTTGAGTTAAGCTCATCATCCCTCCTATGCTCTTATGGATATATCTACATGTTTATCTTGGCAACAGTACAGATATGAATTGCAATTCCTTCTTCTGTTGTTGTTTTAATCTCCCAGTTTGGACTGTAACCCTGAGAATATTTGAGAGTATTTGATGAGTCTCTCATACAGCTACTAATGATGGTCAACCCTGCTTAACTTTGTTTGGATCAGTTAAGATTTCTAGCTACTGCCAAATTTTGTAGGACAGTCTTAAGTACAATAATTTAACTCTTCAACTGCCTCATTAAAAACAATGAAATTGCATGAGGTTTTCCCAGAACATTAACTATATTAACATTAATTTAGGATCTGACATTAGGATTTCATTTTGAAGTAGACACTACAATGATGGATTATAGATCACAGCACTTTTATTATAATTGCTCAGTACTGTCTGATCTTTCTAGTAATATACAAATATTGTATATCCTTGTAAATTATAGGATGATTGTGAATGTAGGGCTTTATAAGGCTAGAGGTCTCAAACCACCCCATCTATTCACATCTCTACTTCAGATCCTACCTGAGGTAGTGCCTTAATAGCTTCTATCTTCCAGCTGTTGTCCTATCTCCTAATCCAGCATATGAAAGACAGTGGCCCTGAAATCTATGCTGCCTATTTTGTGATTAAAATGGCAACATGGAAATAAGTTTAGTATAGTAAAACAATACCTGACCATGTGGCATAGAAACATGATCTTAATATAAAATTAGAACATAGAATCATAGAGCTGGGATGGGCCTTGGAGGTCTTCTAGTCCAACCTCCTGCTCAAGGCAGGAACCTTATACATCCCGGTCAAATGGTTGTCCAGTCTGTTTTTTAAAACCTTCAGAGTTGGAACACCCACAACTCTGGGAGGCAAACTATTCCATTGTTCTCACACTGTCAGAAAATTTCTCCTTACATCTAGGTTGGATCTCTCTTAAGCAAGCTTTCACCCATTACTTCTTGTCTTACCCTGCTTTGGAGAATAAATCAATCCCCTCTTCTCTGTGACAGTCCTTCAAGTACTGGAAGACAGTTATCATGTCCTCCCTAATCCTTCTTTTCAATAGGCTAGAGTAGACATACTTAGTTGCCTCAACTGTTCATCATATTCAGCTCTTCCTCCCCTCCTTGGGAGATAAACCAGTATCAGAGATGAACCAAATTTTAATAAAAAATGAAACTAAGCACTCCTTTTAAACTTTAATATTAAGTATTAAAATGCAGCCATTCATTGTTGGAGAAATAAATTATAGATCTGCATGGATCAGCTAAGTAACACAGATGAAAAAATATATACATATACATACATACATACATACATACATACATACATACATATATATATATATATATATATATATATATATATAAGCTTCTAGGCAAAACATGAAGATAATGGTCTGCTACAAAAGCTGGAACATCATTCAAGGGAGACATAAAATTCAATCTTTCCCTTGTTTTTCTGGGAAGAAGTCAGTTTTTGACTTCTGGCAATTGCAATTTTCTTAGCAAGATTTTTTGGAAAGGGTTTGCCATTGCCTCCTCCTAGGATAGTGACAGGGCCAATGTTACCCAGGGACTAGAATTCAGTGTCTCCCAGTTTCTAGACTGGTGCTTTAATCACTATACCAGACTGGCTCTTAAACTTTCCTCCTGTACAGAGATTTAAAGAAATTATACAATATATGAACCCCAACATAGATTCCACACTAAAACATACACCTTCTATACAAAATGAAGATTCTAAAACTGGTGTTTCTCCAGCTTTGGAAGTGATTTCACTTCAACAAGCTGCTCAGAACAAGTGATGGGAAACCCATTCCTTTGCAGCGTAGCTCGGAATCTTCAGTCTTTGTTTTTAAAAGAATCAAATTTTCACAAAGAAACCTAGTTGGAATTTCCATTAGCTAATACCTATTACAGGTAGTCCTCAACTTACAACCACAACTGGGGTCAGAATTTCAATTGCTAAGCAAGGCAGTTGTTTTTGCCATGTTTGTTAAGTGAATAACTTGTTGAGTCAATCAGGCAGTTTAGTGAACCCGGCTTTCCCCACTGACTTTCTTGTTGGAACCTGGCTGAAAAGACTGCAGATGGCAACCACATCACCCTGTTGTAAATACTTGCCCATTGCCAAGTGATCAAATTATTGAACCTCAGATGACTATTACTGAGTTGTGGAACAACAGGTTTCTGTAAACTCTTGTAGTGAGCTCTCCAAGGTACTGATATGGAGTTGTCTTGCCAGTGCCCAGACCCAGACAGAGGGAAAAAAAGAAATCTCTTCTCCAGTGTAATTAACCAATATCTAGAGAAGTTCCTAGGGATTCTCAAACAAGAAAGAATGGGGGAAGTAAGCTATATGAATAGGATTGTGAAAGAACAAAAATGTTAACTTTAATCCTATACAAAATTACCAAGGAAAAATAAAGATAAATAAGAAAATATACTGGAAGACATGCCCAATTTTAGAAAACAATAAAAAGGACTCTTACAGGTACTCTTATATGAATCACATGAGAACTCATGAGAGTAAACAAACTTTAGAAAATATTTTAATATTAAATATCTACTAACATTGTGAAGCCATTGGTTATACACTATGAATTGGCAACTATCTTATAAGTATCCACAGCAAATAAATGAGGTTGTAGATTTCTTATTCACAGTTACAATATATGTTTTATATCTGAGGCACAAGTTTCAGATTTCAGCCTAAAAGTCACCAAATTAATTTCTACCAGAATCCGTGGTAGAACAAAAACAAGCAGTGAATGCTTCCTATGAAGTCTTACAGAAATCCCAGGTTTCATTTTCAAACACAAATCATGCATGAGGAGGAGATTAACCTTCACATTGAATCTATATAAATTTCTATCCATTCCTTAAAACTGTATCAGGCACCTTTCTATAATGTATAATTAGTCCAATAATAAACTGAACTGATCTCCTTAACTTATGAGCACAAGACAAATGTAAATGAGCAATAATAATAATAATAATAATAATAATAATAATAATAATAATAATAATAGAGTTGGAAGGGACCTTGGAGGTCTTCTAGTCCAACCCCCTGCTCAGGCAGGAAACCCTATACCATTTAAGACAAATGGTTGTCCAGTCTCTTTTATAATATAGCTGCCTAAATTGGGCCAGTTACTGACCTCAACTTATTTTACTTTACAAAGTAATGATGAAGATAAAGTAATGAAAATAAGCAATAAATTGTATAATACAAAAGCATTGAAATAATAATAGCATAGTGCATTCTTAAGTATTAGACCAAAATACTAATTGTTGAGTCCGTGGCGGGAAAACAGACACGAGAAGCAGCTGGAGTTCTCAGTTTCATTTATTCAGCGTTCAGCTTACAGGAAGATGGCTTCAGCCTCGCCCAAACGCCTCGCAGCCTCTTATATAGGCAACTCCCGGGTAAATGGGTTACTTTTCCCGCGCCAGCACCCGCGCATGCGCACGGCGCTGGCGACAGTCTGTCTGGTCCCGGGCAGCTTTGCATCTGCCCGGGACTGCCTGCAAACGCCCGAGCCGTTTGCAAGGCTCGGGACATAACACCCCTTTCCCCCGGGCTAAAACTACTACCAACATACAACATTTATTTTATATGACATTTT